GTTGTGGAATTGGCCGTGGTGGTAGTGCGCCCGACTCACGATCGCAAAATCTGCGAGTAATATTGTGGGGAAAACAAGCTAAGTCAGGGTTTCATTATCATATTTTCCAAAAATTAGTGCGTTGGGGATTTTTTTTTATTACGCATGAGCGTACACACGTAAAACCTTTTGACAAGTCAACATACCTTAATAGTTCATCAATCTACCAGCACATGTCCTCACAAAAGTGAATATAACCTCAAAAATGCCTCTAGATCGAATGTAACAAAAAGTGACTTAGCCGATTTTTCCCCTGTACCCTTCATTTCATTGTCATGTGAAGATTGCATTCTCAAGACAGTAATTCCCTTTTTCTGTTTAAGTATCTTCACCCTGACCTTGATAACATTGAAATATTTCTGTTGCAATCTTGCATGCCGACTCATCATGGGAATGAAAATCAGTCTCAGTATCAACATGAGCAAAACCACCATGAAAATGACGCTAATAACATCAACATCTCCATAAATAAGATAAAACGTTGAATAGAGGTCTCGAATTTTTAAAATTTGCCATTGATACTTCACAAAATACGAGTGCAACAACTGCTTCAGATGATGAAAGCGCGATTACAAATTTATTAATTCACATCTCAAACTTTTCAAGAGTACTGACCTCACAACGGACTGCAAGTTATTCATTTGAAGAGATGAATCCATGGTTGCTTTGGATGAGTTACTCAGAATTGAAAGAGAGTGCTTCTGTAGTAATTTGAATCATAATGACTATTCTACTACGCGACAAGTTTTTACATGATTTCTTTATTATCTGAACTATTTACCTGACTAAGAACTCATAAGACTGAAGGAGGAATACAATTTTCACCTGAGCCATCATTTCACGTACTTTCAAGATCCGTCCTAATTACGAATTTCCTCATTGCAAACTGAAATCAATCAAGGAAAATAATTCAAATCTATTTGATCATTGAGCAATAACTCCGAATTTTCACATCTATTGCTTTCAGAACATTCCAGAAGGTTGAGTTTTGAATTTTTTCTTCCAAATGCAATACATCATAATCATGATGGAACTCGTGCTCCTGTCAAATGAAAGTTCGCAACTGAATTAGATCTTCCCATTCAAAAAACTACTTTTATGCTCTTCTATTCATTTGGAAAAAGTTCTTTCGGTTTGTCCGATATAAAATTTTGGACAAGAACCACAAGTCAATTTGTTAACTCTTGATCTATCCGACACTGGAGATCTATCTTGATTTTTCCAGTATGCATTTACTCAAATAATTATTTTTTCTGTAAGCTGCGTGCAATTATTTGTTTTTGAAAAAACGAGCGATATTATTAGTAGGATCATAAAAGTGACTTAAAATTACATAGTATTCAGTTAAATCCTTTAAAACTGTATCGACCTGGTTCAGAGATTTGAAAAAAATAATTGTGTCAATAATATCCAACTCGGAACCGTTGTTGACAGCAATGTTTTATGAAGATCAATTCTCTTTAGGAATTGCTTTCTGGAAGTGGAATATTCGATAGTCTGGGATCATACTATTGAATGTTGCTACTTTGTTTGATATGAATGCATAGATGAATTATGTATAATGATGTACGTGTAAGATGGAATAAATTATAATGGATTCTCATCAAGTACCGGTAAGTTCTATTATACAGTGCATTCCTTTAATGCCCCCGATTTTAGTTTTTGAAGGGGTCAACTCAAAATGATATAATATGATATAAATTATTACAAGAATACTTTATTTTGAAGTGAAATTGACAGATGAAACTTTATAGATGGTGACTGGGCGCCATTTGGGAAAAAACACTAACTGGTAAGGGGGGCCTTGTGATACATCATTTTGAAGCTCCTGACGAATACTTCACAATCCTTGAATATAAAGTCAATATCTTCACCTACTACAAAATGGCGGTACATTTAATAATTTTCAACAATTCGATGAAGTTTGTTGAGTTATTTTTTGTTTATAAGAACGTCAGAAAATGTTAGTACGACAATGAACATCATTGTCATTTAGTTTTAGGTTTTACTAGTAGAAAGGTAACACGTCAACAAACTCTAAAATGGTCAATTTTTCTTCCATTGAAAGAAAAATTTTTATTAACGGTGCGACGCGTAACTTTCACGTTTTCCGAACGTTTTCCGAATCGTCCTATCTGTAAAAAATATTTGAGAGAAATTTAATCAAAATTCACAACTACCGGTAGTGTACATAACAAAAATCCCCCAGGTCATCCTTCCATTCCGAAAGAACAGCAAATAATTGATGAGATGGTAGTAAATCCTGAACAGTCTACTTATTCCGTCGCAAATGTTCGAGAGGTGTATCCTTACACTGTGTGGAGACTTTTGAAGAGGAATAGGTATCATCCATATAAAATTAAAATGGTACATCAATTAACTGAAGATGACCCTGATCGAAGAACAGAATTCTGCGAAATCATGACGGAAACCATTGCAAGGCATCCTACCTATCTCTTCAATATTTGTTTTAGTGACGAATGTACATTTTGTTCGAACGGCAATATCCACAGACAAAATTGCCCTTATTGGAGTGACACCAACCCTCACGTTTTTCGAGAAAGACACTCGCCAGATTTGACACCTTTGGACTTTTTTATGAGACTATTTGAACCAAAAGGTGAACGAAACTGAACCTACTTCAATATTGGACACAGAGCAGAGAATAATAAATATTTGTAGCGATATTGACGTTAATGTGTTCGAAAATGTTCGGCCTGAAATATGGGAAAGGCTGTTCATATGTCAAGAACTTCAAGGCAACCATTTCGAGCATCTTCTGAACTGACTCTAAGCTTATTACCTCATATTATGTAGTTAAATGTCAATTTATTCAGGCAATTATTTAAAAATCCTCCATTTTGTAGTAGTTGAAGATATTGACATTATATTCTAGGGTTGTGAAGCATCTTGTTCATTATGTTGTCTGGAGTTAGTTGACCTGTGACCGTTTCCACTTCTTGTCTTTTTTGATGCCATCTCATACAGGTGAAGAATGTATGTTCGACGGTGTCACCTTCCTCGTAGTATATGCATGGGTCGCTATTGCTTACATGGAAGCGTTTGCGGTAGGTCTGGAAGCACCTGTGCCCTGTTAGTAGCTGTGTCAGGTGGTACGTGGTATCACCATGCTTCCTCGACAACCAGGGAGCTATATCCGGGATAAGTCTGCACGTCCACAGTCCTGTGTCTGCTTCTCCTTGCCACCATTCCTGCCATCTTTCGAGCATAGTCGTGTTAGCGTTGGTCTTCTCAGTTGACCTCTCTTGCATTCTTTGTCTTTGCCCATATGTGGATGGGGGGAATCCGTGCTACTACTAACAGTGCCCTAGTGGATGCGGTTCTGTATGCTCCAGTTATATAGATAGCTGTCCGGCGTTGAGTGCTTAGCAAGACTTTTCGGTTGGCCTCTCTCTGTAGAGCCTTGTGCCAGATTGGTGCTGCATAGAGCATAATTGAATGCACCACTGAGCACAGGATTTTTCTTGTGGCATCTCTCGGACCTCTAGCTTTGGGCATCAGCCTTCCAATCACCGCTAGTGCTTTGTTAGCTTTTTCCGCTGTTCTCCTTATATGAGCCCCCATTGTCATGTTTTTATCCAACAGCATACTCACCTTTTCCTGGCTCTCCACCACGGTATCCTCAATTTGAAACTGAAGCATAGTAGTGGTAGGTTTAAACCTAATAATAGTCATAGTATTCCATAATTGGTATTTAATTATAGTTTCAAAGATCAGTCTTCACATAACTGGTAACTTCTGATGGTTTTAACGAATCGTAAATATGAAATATAAACCAATTTATACACAAGAAATCATCTATTTTAAAATTTCAGTATATTAGAAGACAACAGCGTTGAACATGTTCGAGTATTTTTTCAGTTTGTAGAGTGCACTTGGGTGGTTCGCATGAAACGTCCAATTTTCCATGACTCTGGCAAAAAATAGAACTATTAAACGAAAAATTAAGAGATTCCAAGTCCAGTTACTTCACGATGTTATTCTAGTAGTTTCACTTATCTCCTCTTTCCTCTTTCCGCTTCACCAGTTTAGCGGGAGATGATCGTTTGGCGGGAATTGCCAATTTTTCGCTTCATAAGTTGCGTATCTTTACGCTAGCTTGGCTTAATACATTGTTGGACAAAATGTATGGGGTTTGTTTGAATTTTCTCCTAAACCAGTGTTCCTCCCTGTGTATGATCTCAGCTTGGGATCACTAGATGTTATGTTAATGGGTCCAAACATGCTCTGCTATTCCTGATTTGCTGGTTTCCCCTCGCTGTGTGTGTTTCTTGAGCTCCGCTATGCGGACTTTCAATGACCTCTTGATTTCACCGATATAGGATTTTCCGCACTCACACGGTATTCGGTAAATGCTCTTGGAATCGCGTTTGATGGCCTGCTTTTCGTGAGGCTGCTACGGATAGTGTTTCCGGATCTGAAGCAGGTTCTGATGTTGTACAGTTATGTTGTTATATCTGAATATTTGCTTCGTGTTCTGCCACTGTTTCCACATTTACAAAAACACGGACAAAACAGCGAAATTTTTCGATTTTTCCACCTGCCGACGGGACATTCTGTTGTTGGCAAAAACAGTCGCTAGCGACATAAAGTTCTCAACTTATTTTTATTTTAACAACTCAACTTTTTTTTTCATCAAAAAAGGTACATTTGCTGTTTTTTCTGCCTTGAGATGTCAGTCTACAGAAGTGAAAACAAAAGGTCTTGGCAGTAGATAATTTGAATTTTAGCCTTCTCCATTATTTGTCAGAGAATATATGGCTTTCTGTAAATAGTATTGTAATTCGTTGATTAAGAAGAAATGAGAAATGATAAAAAAAATACTGAAATCATCAACATAAGGTGAAATCACTCAAACACACATTGGTTTTTTAATTGTCACAATGATAGTTCAATGCATTGATTAGTATATTAATAAATTCACAACAATTTGTTTTCAGGTTGCGTTAGCATGGCTGCTGTTCCTTCCACTAATCTCTTCCACTGGGATGAAATGCGAATATGGCGAGAGAGGATCCCTAACAGCTATATGTACAAATGCAACTCCATCTTTCTTCAAAACGACCAACTACAGATTTGATTATCTCGACGAAACTCTAATATGCCTAAACTGTACTTTAGATACACTGGAAGCAGGAACTTTCGACATTGCCGGCAATGAAATCCAAACGTTGATCATCAAAAACAGTTCTATAAACAGTATTCGTCCAAAAGCATTCATCGGAATGATTCACATGGAAAGGTTAATGCTTTCTGATAACCCTATAGAGACATTGTATCCAGGAGCTTTCATCGGCATAAGAAAAGTGAAATATTTGGAAATGGAGAACGCAGTGCACAGGCTTGAACCACATGTTTTCCGAGAACTTTTCATGTTGGAGATACTCATATTGAGAAGGAACGAACTGACCGAATTGAAAGCAGGAACATTCGAAGGACTTCACAATCTGAAAATTCTCGATTTGGGGTACAATTTGCTGAAAACTGTTAACAACACCTTCGATACACTTGTGAATCTACTCGTATTGAGGTTGAATAACAACATGATCCACACGATTCATGGAGATGACTTCAATAATTTGAAGGCTTTACTGGTTCTCAACTTGAACGAAAACCATTTGTCGAATTTCTCAATGAACATCGGTTCCGATAACCATCTGAGAACTCTTAACATGGCTGCAAATAATCTTTCCTCCGATAGTTTCTTACCTGAAACGTTCAAAAATCTCAACTACGTCGAAGATCTGGATCTGAGTGATAATGTGTTCAAGAACATCTCTCCAACATTTCTTCATGGTTTGTTCAGATTAACAACTCTGAATCTGTGTAGAAACGAACTGACGACTATCAATACTGGTTCATTTACAGGGTTACCTTACCTCAGAACATTGAACTTTTCGAACAACCAGCTAGTTTCCCTAAAACTAACTGGAAGACTACAGTTACATTCTTTGAGTAAACTTGATTTGTCGAGGAATAATATAAATTCTTTCGATTATATAAATCTGATAACTAAAGCTCCTAGGTTGAAATATATTGATCTGGTAGGTAATAATCTATCTTGTGAACTGTCCACCGAATTGGAGACTCTTATGAATGAAGATAACATCGATTTCATGATAATTTCCAATGGCGGAGCTCAATTGGACTGTCCAAAAGTGACTAAATCTTATGAACAACTGATGAAAAATTTCACTGAAGAACTTACTCGCCCGATTGTCAATGACACTGTGCTGGTCTGGATGTTTGTACTCATTACGTTGGTTATTCTATTGGTAGGCGTATTATTTTATATACAATTCTTTATATTACTCAGAATGAATAGTGGCTCCTGTAAAAACATAAGGATCATGAGAAATCTGAGATCCAGAACAGAAAATATTCAATAAATGAAAATACTTTTCCAATTGTAATGAACACTTGAAAAAGAAAAGGTGAAAAACAAAATATTTCAATATAGTGGTGAGAATTTCATTGCTCACAATATCATAAAAATTAACCAAACTTTCAGATGAAATTGAATTCATCAAAATACCGGAATTTTATTCGATACATTTCACAAAGAGAAGAGAAAATAAAACGTGTTATTTCTGTTTGTAAACGGATAGACTGGTTACAAAAGTGTTTATACCTTCACGACACAAAATTGTACTTACTTCATATAGAAAGCGATTCTTCTTCTGGAAATGAATAGTTTAGGAGTTATTGTAAAAAACCGGACACTGTATAAAAATTTCAGAAAAAATAAATTTACATGATAGGTATTTGATTATTGCAAACTTTGATAAACCCTTTTTACCAGGTTGTTCGTCAGTTTTCATGAGTCTGATGTGAACTGAAATATTTCAGTGAATACTCATTCACCCATTCACACTCGACCAAATAAACCCAGCTTCCTAACGAAGCAGGTTAGTTTGTATGGTGAGTGGTCTGCTATTTCATCATTTTCCAAACAGAGGCGCACATAATGTCTTTCGACAGTCCGAGAATCTGTATATGATGATTCAAATGACAGTGACCTGTAAGAAGACCTGTTAGACATCGCAGTTCATCGCTACTGTAGTCCAATAACTGTTTGGTATCAAGCGTTGAAGGGTGAATAAACGCCTGGAAGATTCTGCCAGAAATCCATATATCTTTTTGCCATCCAGGTGTTTGTTTGGCAAAGCCTAAAGTGATGCCAATGACAAGTTCTGGTCCGATAAAGCTGCTTGCGGCACCCTCCTTTGTAAGGGAGTCAGCAGCCTCATTGCCTTCTAGGCCAGTGTGTGACTAGGAACCTAGACCAGAGACAATCTGTTAAGTATTCCTATCGAGGAGAGTCGTTTTCGACAATTTGCTACCAATTTAGACGTTGCTCGTTGGGAGCCAAGAGCTTCCAACGCCGCTTGACTGTCCGAGAATATTTTTATTGACTTTTTATTGACTATTCAAAGGATCAACTTGAAAATTTCACAGTATGCATAAATCAATATGACCTACACGCCTAAAATATTTCAGACGAAGCGGCGTTGTCGCTTCTACTATAAAGTAGTGGCTTCTTTGATTTTTCAAATAGAACACCCTGTATATAATATCATATTATGATTCATTATCACTTTGTCAACAAATTCATATACTATTTCCCTATATCTATCTATTACCGTTTAGAAGATATAAATTGATTTCGATATTTTTTTACCAAACATGAACTTTTATAAATGCTGATAATCTTGAACTCTCTTGCACTAAAACGATCAAAT